AGCCGGGCGAGCGTCGGGGGGGGGGCTGCAGCACCTCGCTGGGGCTGGCAGCACGTCTGCTGCGGGACCCCCAAGAAACGATGCGTGCGGGAGAGAGCTGGTCTGGGCCACGTTGGTGCTCTGTGACACTGGTTGGGGTGACAATGGGGATCCCGCTCTGGCGGGGGGGTGAGAGGGGGCTGCGGCGCACCCCCAGGGCGTCTGAGAGCTGTGTTGTCATCCCCCCCCAATTTTCTGCAGCCCAAATCAGCCCACAGCCCTGACGTGTCTCCCGAGGTCAGCCGGCAGCAAGGTGCCAGCGAAGGGGATTTGCTCGTCCTCAGCTCGTGCCCGGGTGGGTGCTGCCCGCGGTGGGCACAGCCCGGCTATGGGGGTGCGTGCCAGGCCGTGACTCCCCACCGCTGACCTCGGCTTTGTCCTGGTGGGATGGAGGGACCGCCGAGCTGCTGTTCCTGCTGCCCCGTGGGGCTGGGACGCTCCTCGGGGACCCCAAAAGGGAGGGGGATAACGAGGAGGACCCCAAGACCCGGCACTCGCGTGCCCCCGCCCCCAGGCTGAGGGTGCTGCCCCACTGCATCGTCCCACCAGGACCAGGTCCTGCCCCTGCCCATCCCCGAAGCCCCCGGCTCGGCCCTGGGATGCGGCAGCGGGAAGGGGGTCCCGTGGTGGCCCCGTGCCCAGGAGCCCGGCAGGGTCCCTCTGCGGCAGCACCGGCACCGGCGGCGTGGCGCGGGCGCTCCCTCGCTGGGGCCGCAGACGGGCAAAACCAGACGTTTACCAGTTATTTGAAGGCCGGTTTTATCGCGCATGGAAAGAGCCAACTTCAGCAGTTTTCGGCAGTTCCAGCAGCGGGGCGGCTCGCTGGTTTGTCGGAGGGATAAAGTCTCTGGCTCCAAAACTCCTGAAGCAGGGCTGGCGGGCGCTTTGTTTGCAAGGGCCAGTCTGGGTCTTGGCATGCATTCGGCTGATGCATGCAAACTCCAAATCTCCTTGCCAACAAACCCAACAAAGCGGGCGACTCGAATGTGAAAGCTAATGAAATAACTCCCCGACTTGGTGTTTGGGGAGACAAAGGCTGCAGCCGATCAGCTGACCTTGGTTTTCATTGGGTTTTAATCCAGCATTCTCGCTTTGAATCATGCTTTAACTATTTTGTAAATAGTTTTGGCACCATTCTTCTGCGGCTCGGTATAAATTCTACCTCTCGGCCCCAGCCCTTCACTGGCTCAAGCGGGTACTGGTATAACTGGTAAGACTTTTCTATTTATTGTCCTCTTTTTTGTCGTTGCCTTCTCCTGACCCCCGGTGCCGGCGCTCCCTCCCGCAGCGCCGGGCAGAGGTGCGGAGGCAGCAGTGGGGTGCGGGCACACAGCGGAGTGAGCCCTGGGGACATCCCCAGTCCCGTCCCTGCAGCTCAACGCGGGTGGCCAGCGCAGGAGTATTGCCGCCTGGCCCCGGCTCTGGTTTTTGTTTTATTGGGAATGAGTCGTTTTCACCTGGTTTGGAGCCTGCTCAGACACGGGGGGTCCCGCAGGACTTGAGGACGAGGGTCCTCCGTAGGGGCGGCTGTGCCAGGCGGAGCCGGGCGGGCTCAGCACCGGCCACACCGCACACGCACACGTACACGCACGGCCGGGGCTGGGGGGGGCACCCCGGTGCTTCTCCCCATCACCCCCGTTCAGGCACCCGCATGGGACGGGGACTCCTCGGCTGTCACTTGCTGGGCTGGGACAGTGGGAAAAGCCTCGGCCGCAGGGGCTGGGCTCCCCCAGGGAGCAATTCGGGAATGCCCTGCACTCACGGGTCCCCTCGCTCCGGGCTGGAGACCCTTTGTAGGTCCCATCACGGGCGATGCTGTGCTGGGACCGTCACCTGGGCTCCTCCTGGGCCTGAGCCCGGGGCTGTTTGCCCCACGAGCGAGTGGTGCCGAGCAGCCCTGAGCGGGGACTGCCCCGGGGATCCCGTCTGTGCCCGTC